ATCGACGAAATACTTAAAGACAATAAATAATATAATTCTTTTTTATATATTATTGTAGTTATTTATTTAAAGCGATCAAGATAATATCATGAGAGTTTAATTGGTGGCTGAGAGTAAATAATTAAAAACGAATGTGTTATAAGCCATTTTTGGTCTATTAAGAACTGAACATCAAAAAAAGTGTTATTATTGATTTTATTTTGTTTGTGAAATTGTTTAGGATTATATTGAGATCTAGAAAAGATTGTCATGTTGGTGTCGTGTAATTATTATCAATAGCTTTTGACTATGAGCGATGGGTTTGGATAACACAGTTAGTTAGAGAAGTAGTTTGTTGAAAAGTTTGTTGCAATGGTAAATTTAGATTTAGGGGAGTGATTTTATCTTAATGTTAATGATGACTCTGGAGCTTGAAGCCTTTTGATTTGACAGCATCTATAATTTGTCGGTTGGTTTCTTGCTCGTGGAACGCGAGTAGTTAGAGTATCTTTTGATTTTAAGTATAGTTTATTTATCCACATTACCTACAAGTATTGTCGTATACGTTAAACATTTCGACGTGCACGAATAAAAATAAAACACAGTTTTAAAATATAAGCACTTTATTAAATCGTAATAGATCGAATAGAGTGGTCATTGCTGAAGAATCCCTTTTTGTCTCCTTTTATATCTTTTATATAAACGAATACCTACTTTTCTATATTTTTATATGTTTGTTATTGGCCTACTAATATTTGCTGACTAAAAGTTATTTATTGCATTATTGTTTTCTTAATTTAGTTGTAAAGATAACTAAAGTATAATAATACATTATGATTATAATGAGTGCTCGAATTTTTTATATATTATTATCATTCTGTGATTTTTTCAAAAAATAATTATTTTTTTATCGGATACGATAATATTTTTTTCACTCTAAGAATATTGATGAATCACTTTTTAGTTTATACACATAACATAAAAGTTATACATCTCTAAAGAAAAATTTCGTGAACTTATAAGGTGTACGATATTTAAATATTTTAAATTAACCTGTTTAAATTAAAAAAAAAAGTTAAACACGTATTTATACATAATTAGGTAAATATATATTTTTAATGAAAGATGAGATAAATTAACTTTATTTTATTATTTGAACAATATGTTTTAAAAATTCACAGATAAAATTTTTTATTATTTAATATTAGCGGATTTTTCTCAGAATTTCCAATTATTATATAAAAGTATAGAAAAATATACCACAAATACTGTATTTAATGTCAATAGTTTGTGTTTCGTTTTTGTCAGTGTAAATTACATAATTTGTTTGACGCGTGATTCTTTTGAAACATAATTCACTTACTATTGACTATCGTCTATATTATTTAATCAAATAAATGTCTCGTGGTTAACGCGTGATTTTTTCCCCAAAATGTTTTGATATTATTTTGTTTAGATTCGTGAGTAAAGGTGGGAGAATTTTCATCGGTTTATTTATGGTTTGAAGTGAAAGAATTTTGGTGAGAAAAATATTTGTGAAATTATTTGTATGTATTGAAGAGTTGTCTGTTTAAACTTAATTATTTTAATCTAGTGATATGACATGTGTGGTTTTCTAAACTACTACATAAAAGGGTTTTTAATTCTGCAATTTTACGAACGTGTTACAACTATTAATATTATTAATAAGTTATAAATGTCATAATCGCTAGGTGGATGTTATACAATAAGCAGGGAATCGATAGGAACATTAACGGAATATAAGATTAAGGATCGCGGGTTACGGTACCAGGTGGTTATACGTTTTGGAGTGTTAGTTTAATAAACTAATTAGTAATTATATAAATATTGAAATATATAATAGTTAAAAAATTCTTATAGTATCCGAGATTATTTTTACTCGTGTATAATTGATTGAATTCAGAAAAGTAATACCATTTTTTAGGTAGGTATACTTTATGAAAAAAAAACTTAAAATAAACGATTTTATAGTTAAAAGCTTTTATTTTATTGCTAGAGAAACCAATAAAAATTATGTCTCACATGAGTCGGAAAACTATCACATAAAAAATATTTGTGTAAAATATTAACACTAGAAACATACCGATACCTCTTTTATTTTAATGTTTGTATTATGTATAATAATATTAATACGTAAGCCTGACTGTAGTGATACCACAACCAAAAATTAAAATCTATATAGTATTAAAATAAATTCTAATTTAATGATTTATCATTTAAATTATTAGTCATATGGATGTGTCTCGTTGATGCCGACTTCTATCTTTCTCATCCACCCAATAAAAATATACAATCCGATCGCTGACAGGGAAGGTATTATGTTACCGTCTTAATAAGGTTGAATGTTACACGACTTTATAGCATTACGCGATTGTTTCATGCATCTTATAGGTGTTACTTTTATTATACTCGTATATATATATACAAAAGCACCTTAAAAGTTGTAACTTTCTGAAAATGTCTTACCAGTGATTGCATAATTTAATTTATCGTATGTAGAGATCAGTCAGCGTAACAATGTTATTTAGCGATACAAATGAACCAATCATTTCCAGCACGTGCATCAGCTGTCCACGATGTGCTCGACTGTCATTTAACGAAAACATAAAATGATTCATCTGAAGGCTACATGCATTTAAGGATTCACCGAATATGTATTATATTAATGTCCCTTGAATAAAAATATGGTAATCGGATAATCAAGGTAGCCTGATTGAGAATTTATTTTGGAGTACTCTATTTTAAGGCTGTACTATGTACCTACAGTTGACAGCAATAACGAGACGAGCCACTGATATGAATTTATTTTATTTTCAGACGTCCAGATCGAACCTGTACACTGTTATATTATGTTAGGTATATAGTTTATAACTATATTAATATTATTTACGCGTAAATCGCTCATCGTAGTCATTGTTCATACCTATAACAAAAATTATTTGTGCGTGTGCACTGCAACAGATTCGTATGCATGTTACCTAGTTACGCGAGTAACATTATAGTTATACCATTATATATCATAATAATATTATCATTATTATTTATTATATTATGGGATTATAGGTTTTGTGTTTTCTCGATTTATGACCGACCACGCTGTTGATGGTACAATAATTGTTTTTTTTTTTTTTTATCATATTTCATTTGTAGGCTTTTAAACTCGTAGAAAAGAATTAATAATCTTACCATTGTAATAGTAACTGTACACTGTATATAATAAATTATTTATTTATTTATTTTGTTCATTAAAGACCCATTAGATACATCTGTAAATTCACTAAGTGGGCTTAGCAATTATTTCTTATAGTCTCTTATACTCATTTGTTATGTGGTTTCATAACGTATTTTTTGAATAACAAGTGTCAAGAATGAAAACAAGATAAATAATTACAAATATCAAGGCTAAAGTTAAACTTGTTTAAAAAAACAACTGTATATAAAATTGTTTCTGATGTTTTATATATATATATTTATATATAAAAAAAAATGTTTTATTAAAAAATAAAAACCATTGTGATTAATGAAAAATATAAAATATTTTCCAGATACAACTATATTTTTGCTAAACAATGCGTATTTCTGTAATTGTATTATCATATTTAAATTATATTAATGGTTTTTTTATTTTTAATCAACTAATTATTATTTTTTAAATTAAACATAAAATATTTGTGAAAAAGAATGAACTTAAACAGAATGCGTTTGCTTAAAAAATATTATTTTGAAAAGTTGTTAAAGTTCAAGAACTTCAGGAGATTAAAGAGGTAGTCCAAACACTAAACAATTTTCAATCTCATCTGGTCTTTAATATTTTATTAGTATAAATTTTTAGAGTTATAGTTTTCAACGTTTATTTTTAATAACAGTATGAAGTCTTGGTAAAATGAATTCAAAAGAGTCATAAAATTTGATCTCTTAAGACTTTTCAATAGTTTATGATTAATTTAAAATTTTAAATATCAGGCACTTAAATATATCAAATAAGTAAAAATTTCAATATGATTTTCCATCTGTAAAATATTGAATTTAAAATAGAAGATTCTGTTTTAATAACAATTTTTTTTAAAAATATTTCTGTGCATTTATTGTAAGAGAAAATCAAATATTTTTCCATAAATAATATTTAATATATTTTCCCATAAATTATATTAAGCATCAACCATTTGAAAAATTGTTACATTTTTCTTCAAATCAGACATTCAAATAGTTATTGTTAAACTAAATATATAACACGCTTATGACAGCTATAAATGCTTTATGTTAATATAGTTATTCAATATTTTTCAATATTTACCAATTTTTACAATATTATGCATCATACAAGTATCTACATTGGTACTGGGATAAAATTTGCATGAACTAAATTTATTGATATGATTTATTATCTTTCTTATTTTAACATCATATTTCAGAACCATCTCAATGAGTTCAAGAATAATCATATATTTACATTTATAAATGACCAATAAATGTATTTAAAATAGTATACTTATTGAGTTTAGTGAAAATGTTGTTGTTATTTTGATTGATATAGTTCGGAACCCTTTTTCTCGTAGAAGTTACTATTCTGGGGTAAACTTCGATGTTAATTATTCTATCTTTCTCCATTAAAAATTCCATGAATGCCTTTGAATATGAATTCTTGTATAGTTGTATATTTTAAATTTAAATAACTATTACAAAATATGTATTTCGATTTTTAATATTACTATAAATATATATAAGTTATCAATTCTATACTACCCTTTTCTTGAAGTTAGTTATCAGTTAAATATGCGAAACATAATAAAGTTATTATTATTTTTGTTAAATGTAGGCTAAAATATAACAAGTTATTAGCCTAGAGTAATATTAGGATATAAATAAGTAAATAAGAAAAGAAAAATACAATTTATGGCGATTTTTAAAGACTAGAGTATTAGTCATTAGATCTGCAGTCTATACGTAATTTGCACATTTTAGATACAATGGAATTATTTTCTGTTTTTTTTTATTCACAGGTTGAGTAATGCGATCATCGATCAACCATGGCACTCTTATATAGGTTGGTTAAGTTGCCGGACCGTTTTCAAACTCATGTGTTTACGTTTGTGGTGACCAAGTCAGTAACTCGTGACCCGGATCGAGATGTTACATCCAAAGAATTTGCTTGTGGTCATCAAAAATGGTCGATCACATTTTCACGAACTGACAAGATGTTAGGTGCATATCTAGTGTGGAAGAGTTCTTCCGAGTCGGTGCGAGTTTATGTGGATTTTACATTTACTATACTGAACCGTGAACATTTCAGTGTCAACGAATCATTTGCTGGCAAGCAAGTGAGTATATAATAATTAAATATACAGATTACATCAAACTAAAATTTAAGGATTATTTAATTTGTACGAATAAATAAAAAGAAAAGCTTATACAGGGATTAATGGAGAATTTTTGCTAGCAACTCTTAAGATTGAATACAAAATAAGAACAATAAAATAGTTGCTATTAATTATATATGAAATACAATTATTATAATAAAGATAACATATATATATATATATATATATTAATTAGTATAATAATGTGTTAAACGTTAAATCATTAACATGCTAAATGACAAATTTGACATTAAAACACTTACTATGCTTGCATTTAATTACTATGCGAAACACTATAAAACGTCTTAAATCCTCTTATTTATAATCTTGCTTTTAATATATTACCAAACAGTCCTGTATAGAATAAGACATAATACTAAAAAAAAAAAAAAAATAACAATGCAATTTCCTTATTATTATGCAATTAAAACAAAACTAATTTTAAAAAGTATCTGGGGTTTGAACTTTTGAAGTAATTTTACTGAACGCGTATTATTTTTAAAGTCAAGTTTTTTACATCATATTCTCTTATTGTGTAATATATGAACTTAGATTGTACATTTTTTATTTCAATAAAAATAAATTACATTATTACTTGGCAGCTTATATTTTTGCTAACTTAATTAGTTAATAAATTCGTCACAAAATTTGATTTACAAATAAATCTTGATTTGTTTAAGTGCCATGAAAAAAAAAATTCATTAAAAAAATATGATTATTTAAGACTGTATATTTGTGAATTTTTAGGTAGTATGTAACCATAAAAACATTTATTTAGCAAATTTGATTTATCGTTATAATTTCGTCATATTTTTCTAGGTATATTAGGAATTAAATTAAATATATTTTTATTAGTGTGAAGTTGATTATTTATTATTATGTCTTATCATTACATTGGTTATTTTATTTTTTTGAGGTAAAAATATATTACATACCTAATATACCGATACATTTTAATTTTGGATTCATTATATACTTACAAATGTATTTTTTCTAGCTTTTAGCGTATTCATTTATAGAAATGTATGCTTATTATGATTAACGAACCGGATTTTACATATTTTTAATATGAATACATTTTTTTCTAATGAATCATTAATTTTTCTTATAACCTCTAATATATACTTAATGTAAATAATTTATTTTTTTAGAGATATTTGGAATAATTTATGCAGATAGTGTGCATAGGTTTTATTAGTTAAGAAATGATGACATCACAATATATTATATAGTGAATAAAATAATGAATTTCGTGAAGAAATAAATGTTGGTGCAATGGTGCATACCTGTTTGAATAATTCTGGTAAAAGGACGTTCGATAAATTATTCACACGAACGTAGTCTTGATTTTCGCCCACGCGTTACTGTGTAAGCCTATACTATTTTCCCGTTCACTGTGACCCCTTTTTGATTATATTCCATACAGCCCCACCGACGACCGAATTTTCCCATCGTTTCATGTTTGCGGTTTACATCGTAGTGATCCCCACGGGAGATTCTAAGGACGATAAATTTATCACACTGTCAGGAAAATTTGGCCATTAACAGTGATATAAGGATCGTTCATCATAAAAAATAATGGTTAGGTCCTAATCATCAAAATATATTAATATCTATCCAATTAGATAGTACTATATTTATTGAGTTTGTTGTTGATAATTTCGTTACATGGTTAATAAAATGTATTTACATTTTATATTATCGTATTTATTGAATAGCTAAAACTAAGTTATTTTTTAATTTATAAATTTTTGTTTCTGCCTGAATAATTTTGTATTATATACTTTTATAAAAAAAAATTATAGGTTATACGATTATAATTGTGCTCTTAATTTTAATAGAATTTACGTTACGATTGTAAGATTTTACTATACATAAAATAGTTTATTATTTACTGTCTATATGCATGCAAAAAATCACTATAACTAATAAAATAATTATCAATAAAAACTGGAAATTCAGAAGTTAGATGAATAAATGTAGAACTATATTTATTTTATTTAATAGAGCATTTATTAGTAGATATTAATGAAATAAAACTAAAGCGCTTACATATATCTAGAAACTTTAATTTGATCTAAATTGACGGCAAGAAACCGTTTTGTAGAGTATATTTGACCTCAAAATTCGTTCTTAAAAAAATATTATAATGAAAATGAAAAAGCAATACATAAAATCACAATAAAAATGTATGCAAATTATATTTATAGAAATTAATTAACATGTACACATAACCGAATAGAAAAAGTTAAAATATAATCAGACGATTTCAATAAATTAATTTTGTAGAATTCTATATATACATTTAGTAAAGTAAAGCATATTAAAAATAAAAAAATAAACTTTTATTAGTTCTGTAAAATATTAAAAAGTATCATTAAAATTGTTTTTAAGTGACCGTTATTTAATTACGTAAATTGTAGTTCTTTATTAGTATTTATTGAAGAATAAAAGATTCAAACCAAGTAATCAAAAAATAAAGCTTATAATAAAGCTTTTCAAAATAACTGTATTCTGGTTTCGAGTACTACAGCTACTTAAATATACTGCAGTTTGTTTTTATTATCCCGATGTTGTTTTATGCCCATTAGCTAATTCAGTTCATTAATTGCTATTGAATTATTTATAATACTTTGTTTTTTATTATTATTTGAGCCATAGTATAATAATTGTTTACAATATTATATAACATAACTAAAAAACTACAAATATTTTCATTTACATACCATGTCAGTTATACGATAAATGATAATACGTGCTTGTTACCAATTATGGCAAATTAAAATTGAAAATAATATATTTAAGTGTTTTTTTGCAAAACAATTTGTACCTAGTGATTATTATACTTACATATTTCTAAAACAAACCACAAAATACATTTGTGTTTAATGAGTTGTATATAAAATACACACTATAAAAAAGTAATAAAACATTAGACTTGTATTTTAAAAGTAAAAATATTATCGTCACGTGTCAGAGTAGTTTTTATGGTTTCTAGAATCATGAAAATAATACTTTTAGTAACAAAAATATAAACATATTTCAAATATAATGACGAAAAAAAAAAGCTAAATTATTAAATGTACTTTGTTCTGTATTTATACTTTAAATATAAATCATAGTACATAAAATGTCTTTAGATTTTATGAATAATACATACAAAAAATAAATAAATACGTATATACATTTATCTTATCGGCTGTAAATAGTTGTGAATAAATGTAGGTATATAATTATATGTATAATTGAATAGACTTACTGTTTTTATAAATAATAAATACTATTATTAATAAAATTGTAAATTTTTAAGTAGATAATTTAACTGAAAATGTGCGTCTAAATCAAAATTCGAACAAAAAGTTTTTTCAGATAATATTAAATGTCGAACGACTATAAGTTTAATAATTTGTATCAATTATCATATTTCGTATTGTTTATACTCATATGTACTGTTGATTATAATCGATTTATATATACTATCTATAATTATTTCAACTTAAAATTTTTATACATAAGAACAAGGATAATAAAATAATTTTAAAGGTATTTTGAATCGTGAATATAATTTTTTACATCTATATCTGTATTGTACTATTTTTGGTAAAGAATAATTTGACATTAATATGAGATATGTATTTGCATTAGTTAGTATATAAAGTAAATTTATTTATTAGCCTATGCAATCACGTTATACGAATAAAATTAATTTGGTACTATTAAAGTATTAAGTAATAGTTTCGAAATTTATTCATGGTTAATTTATTTTTTAAACTTACTTTACTGTAAATTAAATATATATATATTTATTTTTATAAGACCATTGACTGAATTATATTGACATCAGATTTATACGAGTATGTATTCTATAAACTAAATATTAAGTCGAAGTTAATTTGAGTTTACATTTCACGTATATTTGATCCTGGACAATGTAAAGATTTCTTTGTTTTTTTTCTTTATAAGGTTGGATATTAACTTTTATTTTTTTGTAGAATTGCTTCAGGAATGTTGAGTTTTCTTAAATTAATTTATAAATTTATGAACAAAAGACATACGTTGTTTTGACTTTATAGACTTCCTTGTAGTTTTTCAATCAAATTTTCTCAAGCGATATAAAAAACTACTAAACATTTTAAAAATTACGAAATACCCATATTTAACAAGTATCAATTATTTTCCTATTTAATTTAATTTCTGTCCTTGATTATTATTTTTTACAATACTTGAAATAATTATTGTTTATGAATATTATAATTTATTAATAATTAATATTTTGATGGTACAGTTTCATAAATTATAATAATAGTATAGGTTATTAATTACAACTATATCCTGCTATTCGTACAATTTATACTTAAATATATGTTGATACGAATTTTGTTTTTTATTTTGATTTATATTGTACCATCAGTTGTTCTGCTTTATCTGTTATATTTAAAAAACAGATTTTCGAGTATGAAATGTTATTTTATTTTTTGGAATTTTTTAAATATATATATATATATATATATATACAGGTATATATGGGCTTTTTTCACCTATTTTTTATCTCTATTAGCTAAATCGGTAAAGTAAAGCTATACGCGTATATGACCCTATGTACTGAATTTTTAAACCGAGTCATAATATATTGCTATAAGTTAGGCCGTTAAGGACTAAAATAATCCTAGCTAAAGCAAGAAAAGAAAATATACTCTTTAATGTTAATTATGAAATTGATACTTTTTTACTGTGAAAATATTATGTATCGTATGTTTAAATAAGTTCGCTTTCGATGGTTCAATGATATTTTTCGTCAATTTTTATCGTAAATATAAAAAAAAAATAAAGAGCCTGAATATTTTAATATAACACGTTGTCAAAATCCATAGATATCTTATAATGGTTTTATTTAATTAAGGTTAATTATCAATAAATATTAAACAAATATTTTATAAATTATATGATTGATATATAAAATAAAAGTTGGTGAACATGATTTTTCATAAAACGATAAATACAAAAACGTTTTTTTTTGTAAATGTAAATCTTAAAGTGAATAGCCTCGATTAACATACTAAACTCAACATACTTTCTACTTTTAAAACTTTTTATTTTCAACAGATTATAAAATAACTTATATTTTTTTAATAATATTCTATATGTAGTACATTTTTAACTTCAATAAATATATTTATGCACGTGACATATTGACATATAGGAAACATAAACAAACTTTATACTCGTAATAAAATATTTTAAATATATTAACATAAAATATGTACTTATGCACAGTGTACTTATATTTTTAAATGTATGCATATGTTAAAGTCGAAATATTTGATTGATTTGCTGTTTTTTTTAAACAAATGATTTAACCTATTTATAGTGTTCATTATTATACTTTGTTTTTCCATATTATTTAATTTAATTTTTGTATAATGATAAATAGTATATACGTTTTTGTTCAATTTTAAAACCATTTTTTAAAACATTAACCATTTTATATTTTCTTAATATTGTTGTCGAACGTATATCATGCTACCATGAACATATTTTAAACACTCAACGCTACTACTAACAGCATATTATGGTATAAGTAAATGTACTTATATTTTTTTTTTTTAAATTCCAATATCGTGTACCGTCAACTTAACATGTAGTTAAGAAAGTATAGAAATAAAAAACAGTGTTAAGTGCAAAAAAAAACACCGACATCAACTTCAGTGTTAAGTACTCGGTGAAATGAGCTTCTGCGACGTGAGTGTAACCGACAAAATAATATTCTGTGCGTTGAGATTATTATAAGTAATGGTTAAATTTGAAATCCGCGATAGAATGATTAACGGGTCGAAGTCTAAATAAATACATTTAAACGTTTTTCTTTCGGTCATCGGTGTTAAATACGTGGATACCGCACCTGCAGAAGCACAGATGACGGTACGGTGATCCGCACGTATACAACATGTACACCGCACTTAACAGAAATGTTCTACTTAAGTGCTATTGAAAATCACTCAGCGTTACCGTTCTTAAGAAGGACAGTTGGGAAGTTTCAACCAACTAAAATCCACGTCTTGCCTTTAACGATGTTTATTAAGTGTGGCCACACACGTACACATACACATGTTTATATATATATATATTGTTATTGTCATTTGCCATTTACTATACTTACCACATTGCAATCACGTTGTGCGTGTCTTGGTTACAGGTGAAGTTTACGACGGACTGCCCGGCCCAGGGGAACCGAAACTACATACCGGTCAGCGACCTGTACGGCCGAAACTTCACGGACGCGAACGGCGAGTTCCAGCTGGAATTGTCCATCGGTCACGTGCGCACACTGTACGACACAGAGTTCTGCGTGCCCACGTCGCTCACGTCCCGGCTGTTGCATCACCACCACCAGATCCAGAACCACCACAACCCGGCGGCTGGAAATGCTCTCCAGCACCAGTACGGCACGGCGTCGCCCAGGGGGACTAAGTGCAAGCTGGAGACCTCGTACTTCACGTTCGGCGGGTTCGACTGGAACTTAGCGCTGTACCCTCACGGCGTAAAAGACGTTTCGTGTAAGTACCCGTTTCATCTGTTCGTAATATCGTACAACGATCGGCGAGTGTTATTAATACGTCGTGTGCACAGTTGCAATTCGTCCGTCGGTATTGTTTTTCCTTCAGATTTTTTCTACCGTAAAAAATACAACGCATCATAATTCGGGCGATATTGCCATCTATCCACGTCACTTTGTGTGACCCGAAATGTTTGCCATAAATACTTTAAGCTTTTAATACGTTTATCCTCGCGGGCGATGACATTACGACGACTAGTGTAATGTAGCCGTAGTAGTTTTTTTTTTTTTTTTTGAAAAAGTTTATGTTTTGTGTTTCGTTGTGATCGATACAACTGTTTCTTGTACAAACATATCGTAATACGTTTGAAGTAATCAGTGTACGATTGAACTTAATCTATACGAACTGCATAACAATAACAATCATATTTTACTACTGTCTTTTGTATTAGTACAGTTGATGTACATTGCACGCTTGTATAATACGGCCCCTCTGTAACAACAATTACATCACTATAACATTATTCGGTTGAGCTCTATATGTATCAATTAAAACGCTTATATTATTATTTAACATTTGAATGTAATTAATTCCTCTATACGTTATGATTATCATAATAATTCACAACTATGCAATTTATAACTATTTCCCGCTTTCCGCAGATGGATATTTAATTCATGTATTCAAATGTTATCATGAATGTACAACGAATTATAAAAACGTGTTTATTTTATGAAGATATATAATTAGTAATAAGTAGTATAATATATTAATATGAACATTATGAGCTAATCAGAAATTCGTATTGAAAAAATTGTGGAAGATTTTAAAAGAATATTTAAACATGAGATCACTGTATAGTGTATATTTGTAAAACGCGTTTGTAATAAAACTCTATACATATCATATAATATTACAACGAATAAAAGTATGTATTTGATCTTTATGCGAAATTAAATAATGAAATCAATACAACGAAAGAACAACCATAAACCTGTAATTTATCATTAGTTATTATCGTATCAATTCGTTAATCTTAGCGCCTATAAGTTATTTGTTATCGTTATAAATTCGAAAATAATCATAAATCATTGCATTACAAAAGCGGTTGTGCTCAGATCTCGATTAAAACCACGGTTTTTGAACTTTATTTAATGCATTAAATAATCTACTGATAATACTAAAAAACGAATTCTTCAAAGTACAAAATAAATGTAATTTTCAATCGATAAATAGGACCGCTTAAAGTTTTTGGAGTACTCTTTGTAACCGTAATAGTGGTAACAAAATAAATAAATAAATAAAAGAATAGTATTGTAAGAAGACCAATACGTTTCTCGCTTCTCTCAAAATTTAAAATTCAAATCATGTTTTGTATATTTATAGTTTAGCTATGTTTATACTATATTTATATTCACTATAATTATGCAGTTGTTTAATAAGCAACGTCAACTGTTGATTTGATTGCAGGTACTTACTGATTTAATATAATATTATTTTCATTTATTTTTCAAAGCTCAGTGAAAAAAAAAAAAAAAATTTGTTCTTGTAATGAATTTTTTTATTGTTCGTTAAATATTTCATGCGATATTTAGTGTTTTAATATTTTTGTTTTTAGAGTAAAACGTTTTGAATTTTTTTTTTACATATTCTGAATCAACTACAACTAAACTTAACTTTTATACAAAATATACAAAATAATTAAATACAACATACCTAATACATTTTTTTAACTCAGCGACTACCTAATTATTTATTATTTTGTATTCGGTTATTTTATGGATACATTAGTAATAATAATTCACGTATTATAATGATATTTTTTTGATGGACGTTAAGCAACATAATATAAGAAGCCATTTACTTTCAGAATTATAAGGTTTGAATTTTTATTTAAGCTGAATTTTATTACTGGTGTAGATTATAACGACATACAAATCATCATTATGTTGTTTTATTTAATTACACACCTAATTTTTAAATTTTTATAAATATTAAATTAATACCGTACATATTAAAACTTACACTCAGTTCTTAAATCTTTGGTATTATTAACACTATACTATAAGTAATTTATTTTAAATATTCATTTGTTATAATTGAAGAACTTTATTAGAGGTTATCACGAGTTCAAAATATTTAATGTACCTATGTTAGATTTTCATTTACAGTTTATAATTCAAGTGAAGTAGTAAAGTATCTTTGTAGTGTTATTCAGTATTAATTAATTATAATCACACCATTAAAATTCAAACATATTTATGAATGGGTAAGAGATTTAAAAAGTCGTAAAAATATTAAAAATTATAATAAGGATTAGGTAATGTCCGAAAAATCTAATTTTTTGATTCAAACTAAAAAAATGTAAAATTAATTATTGTGATGAAGAAATCATGATTTTTATGAGGAAATTTCACCAGTAAAGTTTTTTTCAGATTTTTGAGGTGTTTAATATATTATATGAATATAGAATTTTCTAAGACCAAATATTTAAAGAAATCTTACTGGACTCATACAATACTATTACGCAGGGGTCTCCAAACTTTTTTATCTAGAGCCACACATAAAATAAAAAAAGCTCTTAGCGGGCCAGAATGTATGAACACATATCATTTATAAACTATAGCTTGTAAATTATGGTATAGCCGATACAGCTGATAATTACATGTGTGCGTGATAATGATTTTGGAAACTAAACATATTTTTAGATTATTTTCCGTGATTTGGCGGGTCAGTGAAAACTTGTTCGAGAGCCTGATGCGGTCCGCGGGTCGTAGTTTAGAGACTCCTGTTATTACGTATTAAGCATTCATATCGCTTCATACACCTTATTGTGAGTTAAAGTAGATTGTTCCTATTCCTCTTATTTGACTGTTTTACTTATTCCGTAATCAAAAAAAAAAAAAACTAATGCAAAAATATGTTTCGTTTTCATATATATATATATATATGAAATTAATATTTTTAATTTCAATATGATTGTACACACTTATAGTTTATACCCAAAAGTCAGATTTTAGCTGTTTACTAATCTAAAATTAGTATCTAGGTTGAAATTACAGAGATATCTAATTTTAGTTTTATAAAATTATATAGTATTTTTTTTATGATTGCTTTATACTTAGATGGTTTACAGTGTCCACACGCTATTGATTTTCTTATTTATATTTCTAAAGTATAACATACATATATATAATGTTATATATATAAATATGTGTATAATTAATGTGAATAGTCAATAAAGTTTTTCAATATATTGACATCAGTTAATTTTGAATCTACAAATTTGAATGTAAAATTGAATGTTAAAATTATATACATACATACGAGTACATTTTTTATTCAAAATCAATAAACATCAAAGAACGGTATTAATTTAATTTAATTTTTTTTTTCATATACCGTAATAATAACATTATTTATACCATGGATGTATTATTGAAATTAAATTTTTTTCATATTCATCATTTAGGTACATCGGTTGAAGGTCGTATGTCGGTGTATTTGAATCGTTGCACAGGATTCGATCATCAATGCCGTGTTCGATACATGTTAGTTTTGGGCGATGGAGAAAAACGTCTGGACTCGGGAATATTAGATGATGTATCCGATTCAGATGGAAAAAGCTATGGCTGGCATCCCAGATATAAGTTTTCCGAGCTTGTTTCAAAGGTTTGTATGATAAAACTAATTAGGTATCTTTTTATATATTAGTTTGTAAACTGTAGCTCAATTAGTTCTAATGTTAATTAAATTTGATCCAATTAATAACTAGTTTAAGTAATAACATTAATAACTTTGTTATTTGAACTAACTATTGTGTAGTTGTTATATATTTAATCTTAAATTATTTACGTATAATGTAAAATATTTATTTATTTTGTTTTCTTTGTAAGTAAAACACAACTATTTTCTCGTCATCAAAACTAAGTTCAATAATAAAAATAAAATGAGACTTGAAATTTATATTTATATATCTTCGATGTAAGAAATCTAGATTTTTTTTTAAAATTTGTTTATAAAATTTCTAAATGTAAAAATTAATATTTACAAATATACTTACATTTTTGTTTGAAACAATTAATAATAATAATTGAATAAAATGTTAAATAATTATAACCATTAAATATCCATAAAATATTAAACATTTACCTATATATTAAGTATAATCACTGATACTTGCTAAAGAATAACTGGGATTTTAAAGCTATTTTTAGTAAATAATAATGTTTTCTTAAAATACGAGTGACGAGTGTCAATAAAGGAGGATTTCAGACAAACAAAAATGAAAACGAAGTTTATTTAAAAAAAAAAAATACAGTAGTATTTTTTTAGATTCTAAGTGTAAGAATTCAACCATGGTTTATCATTGTTAATTTTTAAATACATATTTAAACAGTAAAAGGTTTTAATTATACACTATTATTAATAACTTTAACGAATTGTCTGGATTAAAGAAGTATTTTTTTTTTATTTATATTGAGTTATTTATTTCAACTTCTTAATGTTATATTTCTAAGATTCACATAACTATAAAATAGTTTAAAGAAAGTACTATTTTATGAATTTCGCTATAATATACTCTTACATAGGTGTGTATACAAATAATAAATTTGTAGGTAATATAAATCAAAAATATGTATAAAAGCCGGCTAATAATTGTTTGAAATTGTAGTAGTTCATTTGGATACAAATCCTACAATAAAGTAGTATACACGCAATAAAACGGTTTTATTATTTTATTAAGTTTAGTGATCACTGTTTGAAAAAAAAAAACATATTTTATCAATATTAAGTTGTAATTTTAAACAATTTTTTAGGTTTCCAAAAAATATTACTCAATATGCTGAATAATTTTAATACATACATATTTAACAACACTATGTTTTCATTTGTTCTAAAATATGTTACTTTAATTATTTCTAAATTTTAAGGATATTATAAGGAATAAATTCTGTGATATCTAATTTTCAAGCACGTTCCATATATTCAATTTCTTGAATTTTACAAGTAAACCAATATATATATATATATATATTATAACTGGATAAATATTATTCAATATATAATAAATCTATACTGGAAGGTTAACTATTAAATTATTTTTAAGATGTATAAACGTTATCCATATTTGTTAGATAATAAATATTCAACAATAATAAGATTATTTAGTCAGCTAGTCATTATGAAATTTGCTATAAATAGGAGTTAATAATTTGATCTTGAAAAATTATCTTAACATTGACAAAAGCTTATTTCGTTTTATCTTTGTTTATAATCAGTAAAACTTAACAATAGGTACATTATTGAACTTTGATTTTTTCATAATATACTATCAATGCGATAAATTATAAAAATTAATAATAACGAGTTTTGTGCTAATAGTTTAATTCAAAACACTTAAGTCTTTGATTTAACTTAATTTAGTTGTATATAATATAATAATATGTACTATAAATAATGCATGAAATTTAGTATATTTGAAATAATAAGTAAATATCGATTAATAAATTGGTGTTATTTATATTAAAATCAAGTTAACGATTACCCTAAATATCATTAATTATAGTTGTGTTTATATGTACCATGTTCATTACATATCATTAAACCATTAAACATACTAATATAAATGCGCTAAATTAATATCCTTATTTAAGAGCAGCTACGCGTTGGTACTAATAAAATATGTAAACATTTTTTTCTCTTTATTATTACATAATTATTAGTAATAAATAATAATCATAATATATTTTTTTTAACTTATTGTTTTATTAATAATACATAACTTAGTAATAATTCATAAAGTTTATTCTAAAATAATTCAATAAATAGTTTAAGGTTAAATAATTACTAAAGACAATATATTAATCAAAAATACGAATTGATTCTTCAAACAAACAGTAGTTAAAAAGTCAATCTAATCTCTAAAATCTATAACGTTGACAAGTTGACATTTTAGATTAATTTTCATCTGTTAAACTTGAAATAATACGCTACTATGGCACAATCTAAATAGGATCAAATATTTATCATTTGACATTAGACCATAAACCGTTAGTCCATAATTAAATAACTTAAATATCGATTCTTTTATTTTTTTGGACTTAGTATAAAGGAAGATATCAAAAAAAAAAAACTCTTCTGTAATGTCACTTAAATAAATTAGTTATTACATACATGAAAAACAAAACCAAAAAACCTTTTATGGGTACACTTAAAATAGCCCCAACTGTCATGATTACAGATAAACCCGAGCTCAATGTGGTTAATCTTTTCACTATATATATTCTTCGGGTCTGTATAACCACAAGTATTGGGTTTAAAAATATGTCTATATTTCAAAGGCCATCGCGCAGATAAATAATTACAGAGAACGCAACATCATCATAAAATTTATTTTAATTTATTAAGTGAAATTATTTAAGCTTCTAACACAGTTTATAAAGTATAATATAATAATATATAATTAAATGTATAACGATTATTTGAATGTATGTTTCATTTAAATTATGTTAAATACATTATTACAATTGCATGACTTGTGTTATCATTGTTTTAAAATATTATTTATTATCCAACTTATTGGTAAGAACATAATTTATTTGTACGACGATTTTTACTTTAATTAAATTTTTAAGCAAGTTATTGGCATATAAAATATCATAATTTTAAAATATTTATAACTCTTTTAAAAATTCAAATATTGTACAAATTTAAAATACGAACATAGATAATGTTCCTTCCTTTAATCGTTACTATACAATAAACTATAAATTTATTGAAATATTAAATCTAATATTCACAATTTGTTTATTTAAACATTACTACATTTTACATTTGTAAGATAGAGATACTTAATTTATTATACGTAAGAATGCTTGGTGTTTTCTTTATAATACAATTAAATTTGTCATTGTAACAGTGTATTTGAATTTTTTTCTCACATAATCTGTCAACATTTTCTTTCGAACGTAAGTATTTTACTATTACATTATTTTTATTACTGATAATATTACTGCGGTTGTCGTGTAAATAGTAATTGAGGTAATGTTACATTTTAAAAGTGTAAAAGTTATAGTATTTCTTCTGTCAGGATAAACTACTCTAACAAATTAGACATACTTTATATTTTAGTTGCTAAGATCTTTAAAATCTGGGACAGTGCCAAACTATCACAGAGCTGTACCGTTCAGGCACTTCAATCCATCACTCACTAAGTACAAACAGTTACACAATACGTTTGTACTCACCAACATATGATACTACACATTAGCACTCATTGATTTTATATGGCAATCTCGTCCACATTCTTTGGGCTTGTCATATGATGGTTATACTTGGAAACGTCTTCCGGTGTGATATACGATTAGGTATATATATCACTACACACTTCAGTAACTGTATAGCACTGTTAATACTATCTTATGATTCATTTTCGTACAAATATATCTAATTACTATATTTTCCAAATAGGTCATAGAAATTATTGTCAAATATTTATTTACAGTCTAGAATATAGTTAAACAAAAAAAAAAAAAAATTAACTATTATATGCTATATTGGTTGTTTCATTTTCCAATAGAAAACAATTTTTGTAAAGCAAAATAAACTTGTCTAAAACGTTAACAGAAATAAATCTATAATTAAAAATTGTTGATTTTTATCTGAAGCAAGTCAGGTTAGGTTATGTCCAATCCAAATTAGATAAATTTAATTTGTCTTCACAGTATTTCAATTAATAATACCAGTGCAACGGCGAATAATTCTTTCTATACAAATAAGTTTTTTCTAGAATCTAGAAATATTTAACTGTATCTTATTTACGTTGATATTTTGAGAAATTCTACTCTTAAGAAATATGTTTATAATCAAATAAAAATGTTAGGTGGGTAGATTAAACTACAAAAAAAAAAAAAAAAGATCACAGAATAAATGAAAGAAATTACCATTTATTTTTTTTTTTTTTAGTTTGCATTTGGAAACCTAGCAAAAACACTTACTTTCTTTATTCGCTTGAATGGTTTAAATCGAAAATATTCATAAACTTATCATGGAGAAATCTTTTTTTATTTTTTGCAAAACCGCAAATTTGAGAAAAAATATTATGACTGTGTGAAATAATTTTTTGTTTTCATCTGTCGCTACTATAAAATAAGTCTGTATTATTATTGAACCATATAATTCTTAACATTAAACAACCGTTTAGACTTACCATGCAGATCAATAATGAATTAATTTATAACATTTTATTATATCTGACACACACACATTTATATTTTTTAATTATTTCTTTGGTAAATATAAAAATTTGACGAAAATAACACTTTTTTTTCTAATAGGTTTATCCATTTAAATATTAGATTAGATGGAAAAATAATATAAATAGATGTATTGAAATTAAAAATGTTCTTGAACAACTATCTATACGTATATAATATTCAGTACAATTTAATCTATTTAATCGCATATATATATATATATATATATATATAATATATATCAATTATTTATTTCTTACATAGTTATAAAATTATTATCATAAGTGTTATTTCTGTGCACAACTACTCGTAAATGATATTGTTTTCTACTACAGCCATATTCCTTAATAACAATGAGCACAGAGAGGTCAATAATTCTACATTTAAATAAGTTTGCAGTCCAATATTTATTATGCAATAATACCGTTGGAATATCTTAAAATAAAAATTTAAATAGACCATAGACTTAATTTTAATTTATAGTATGTATTTATAATCATAATAGCCAAAAATTAAAATAGTTTTAATATTTTAGAGCTTTTTTTTTTTATATATACAGTAAAGTAATGTTGTTATATTATTTACGTATTTTCATATTGTTTTAGGGAACAGTTCGGGTACATCTAGAGATGTTATTGGCAAACACTTTAAGTGAAGTTATATCCAGTATAGTGATAACAGGAATCAACCAGCACGGGGTGTCGACGGTAGCGTCTAGTGGCGTGGTAGCGTCACCCACGAAAACGCAATGTTACGACCGAGACAAGCACGCGTGGTCTATAAGAAGCGATTGCCAATCAGAAACAGTCAGACTTCATATGGTCTACAAGGACATTCAGAATGTGCCCAGAAATCATCTCAGGTAATGAAATATAGCTTAATAAGATATTAACATGATATGAAAGCTCTGATTAAATGCTTATCCGTGTGATTATTTTATAATTCGTGAATCTAGAGCTATATTCTAACAAAATTTGCTTTCTTCTACCTAATGTTATATTTGATAATTTAAAACGATTTAACCATCAATGGTTTAGAGAATTCAAAAAATTTTAACTAAAAATGAAACACAAGTAAGAAAAATTAGTAAATATGTTTAATGTTTATATTATGTAACGCACTACTTCATTTACAAAAATTAAACTAAATAATAATAATAATAATTTTTTTTTATAATATCGAAAATTTAATAAACATATCGTTATACGCAATAAATCAAAAGTTATTAAAAAAAAAAAGTAAAAAATATTGAATTCGTGATAAGTTTAAACGTAGAGTGTTTATATTCAATTTCATTAAGTATACATCAGCGATTTTTTAACGCAGGTATAAATAAAAAAAAATTTGAATTCAACAATTCGATAACTAACCAATATTTCATAATGGCATAGCTTATATCATAATTTACTCATTTTGATAAAACAGTATAATATAATAAAATTAACTGCAAGAACAACTGAAAGAAACTTAATACGAAGGAGTGTAATAATATTCATTATAGTATGACATTTAAAAACTATAAAATAATGCAATTTTTGTGTTCTGACTTATGACATATAAAATAAATTATATACATTATACTTATATACTATTATTATTACTTTACATACTTATAAGCTATAGCTACAATTTTATGTCATGTAATGTGTCAAATACTATGATAATTTAATGTTAATACAATTTAAATTTTCTTATAAATATTATTAGTGATTACAACATATAAACTATACTATTTGAAGATTTTTCATTGTCATTTTTGTTGACGTTTATTTATTACAAACATTATTTTCTATATCAATATGATGATAAAAATAATTTTTTATTTATGAAATAATAATATGTAATATTAATAATAATAAAGTATTAAGGATCATGTATACATATATAATTTTTATTTTTTTAATAAAATATTGAGTTAGGCATACAGATGAAAGTTAATAATAAACATAGTTGTATTTATTTTCACTGAATATTGTAATAATTAGTAAAGTTACATGGAAATAAAAATATAACACACTTCAATATTACAGTTGAATATCGACTGTTTAATATATGATGTTTTTATGTAGATACCTGTAATATTTGTTTTAACTCGTTTCAAACGTAATCATGCTTTGATCGTTATCATAATTCATGTATATTATACATATTAATAAATCATAATAATATGATAATTTAGTTTTGAGACCCAACTTTCTATTTATTTTGTAAAATTTAATACAAAACAATGATATCGAAATTTAACTAAAATAAAATAGAAATTATTTATCCTATTATATATTTAAAACTATTAATAATAAAAATATAAGAAATATATAAAAATGATAATAGTAGAACAATTTAAAATCTATTTTAATTATTTTATAATATTTATTCTACAGCATAATTTTGACAGTGATTTTTTTCAATTCATACAAAACACTTTAATATACAATTAATTGTATATTTGTGTGGTATTTTAAAATAATCTACTTACGCATTTTTAAGAAATAACTTTAACCGTTATTGATTTTTAAAAATATGTTCAAAAATATAGAATTCAAAATTAATATAATTATAATAAATAATCAATTACATCCATATTATAAATAACCTTATAAATTATATTTGGTTATAAAATGTAATATAACTTTATTCAAAAACATATGTTTTACATTATACTCGTATATTTAATTTCAATATCTGATCAATTTATTATATATACTTCAAACACGTATTTCAAGTTATTGTATTTATTTATTAAATTGATTTCGATGTATCAGTTTAAATGTCTTAAAATATAATTCTGTACAAGAATTCATTAAGTTTAAGTTAAAAATATTTAAAAAATATAATTTATAAAAAGCTTTTTAAAAAAAAAAAAAAATCTTTTAACATAGAAATAGATTATTTAAAATAATTGGTTATATCGTATAGTTTTAAATTATTTTTGTTTAAAGAACTTTCATTTTCTACTTAAGAGATATAAAATATCGTTAATAGATTTATTCAGCTTGTCCTTAATATAATTTATATAATTATTTTATCTAATTGCCATATTCATATTTTGAATATTTCTATAAAAGATTTGTAAAAGCGGTTTATTAAAAGATAATTTCTTTTAGGTATTTTTATTGTTTGATCTTTTAAGCTTTAATTACAGTGTTTATGGTTGTTAACTATTTTAACACATTTTGAAAGTATACATTAAATTGTTATTTTCGCATTAATATTTATTAATAAAAAAAAGATAAAAAGTGGAATAGTGAGATAAAATTACTGCGAAATATTTGCACCATACTTAATGAAACAGAATAATAATTAAATATTTTTGTAAATTATCTAAATTATTTAATATATAAACATAATTCTTACAGCTGGTTATAATACGTTTCTTAGATAATATTTATTCTCACACTTTATACTTAACGTTTAAAAAATTGTATATTCAACCCTAATCTTACATATCTTCGTAGGTACTCTATTTAGTATTTTCTTACAAAAAAATTCAGTACTTAAAAACAAATATAAACATACATTAATTATCATGTTGAATGTTGGTTCAATAACATTTTTTAAATTTATTAAGTAGAAAAAAATTATACATTGTAGGTCAAATGATTTAAAATATTTTTTCCTTTGAAAATTATTATTTAAATGATTGATTTACAAAATTATAATATTCCAATAAAATATAACACGATTTCAATAAATCAGTTTCGAATAATTTAGCTCATGAGTTCCAATGGAAATGGTTCAAACTTATTTGTTGGCTTATAGAACAACTAGTCATTAACACAATTTATAACTTATTTATAATTTAAGATTTTTTTTTTTTTTTTTAGAGCAGTATCTTGCAGGTTTAAAAGTTAAAAACGTTAACATTACATTTATGTACCACTTTTGCCTATTCGATATGCCGTGTTAAAATTAAGAAATAAACATTGAAAAATTATTACGGTTGTAGTTGTAAAGTCTTCTTGATTTGCTCATATTGATGCTTGATAAAAATGTACCGTTATCCTTACCAAAAATTAAAAAAATAAAATTAATACCTGTGTTTTTAATGCAAAATCAAATTGAATGTTATAACTTATAATACAATTAAAATTAACTTATAAATTTCTGGAAGTAGATTTATTTATTCAAAATAATGAAAATCATGAAAAAATGTAATTTGAATATACAAAAATAATTTACAAATTAATTTGAATATGTCTAACCCTCAATAAAGTTAAAAATATGTAAGCAATTTGTCAGTTTGTATGGGTCATCATTAAAATTATACATTGATTTGTGGAGTCTTGTTGAAATAATATTATATAACTGTTTAACAACGTTGGAGAATATCGTTCGGCGATCACACGTCGAAAATATAGCGGCTGTTACTATTTTCTTCAAATTCGATAAATATTATAAGTATTTGTGTTTTACTCATCTTATTTGTTTTCATAAAACCATACAAACCCATTGTAAAAAATGAAGTATAATAAATAATAAAATACTACAGATTTGAATAAAAAAGAAATTTAGGATTTACTATGAAAAAAAGCTAACTTTTTATTTTTTATTGGAAATTTTTATACATAAATATTATCCATTTATTTTTACAAAACTCAAGACAAGGTAAAAATAATTGTCTTGTAATCTTGTTCCTCTTATATTGGAACTAAATAAGATAATTTTGTAAACATTATTATAATAATATTTTAAAGAAAAAACTACATACAATATACTTGCATTATATTTAAAATATATTATCTTTCACTTTATGTGTTATTTACTATTGTCATCTACTATTGGATGTAAAGATACCGTTCACTAAGTTTATTAATAAAATTAGGTTGTGTACCTCAAACACCATTAAACAGTTTATTTTGTAAAGTTGGAAAAACATTTTGAGGGACTAGGCATAGCCAGCCTAATATATCTGTTCGTGTAACCTAAGTAGTGCTCTAACTGTAGGTATAATAGACATTTTGTATGTAAAACTGAAACCTCGCTTGGAATATGGAAAATTGGGCGACAGGTAACGAGAAAAATTCAAAGTATATATAATATATGACATGTGTAGAATAAGTACCGCAATAAAAAAAAAAAAATATTATATTTATAATATATTTTATATGGTATAGATTTTTTTAGAACGATATTAAATGAATATCCACTGTGACACTACGCATCAAATCAAGTTTAATTAAAAATTTAGCAGCTGCATACAATATATTATATGCATATTTATGTACATCGTATACTCGTATCATAAAGAATATTATTTATTATTTTCAATTCTTAAAAATCTTTTAATAAAAGTTTATAATTCAAATTTTAAAGTCCATGTAGTTTATTTATTAGTTAGCTTTAAATATTGGTTATGTGAATATTAAATTACTTCAAAAATGTTAATGGATATATATATATACATATAAGTATTTAGATGTAATTTTACATTTATGTATTATTATAGTCTTATGTTAAAATATTTTTGATTTCAACATTATAAGCTGCTACTTAAAAGGTTTCACTATACATACCTGTTGTATGTATTATATTAAATTCATGAATTCTTCAATCATCCTACTCTTTTAACAAACTTGCTGAGCCTGTATCTTTTGTAAAAAAACGGATGTAAAATACCTAAGAAGTTGTGACTTATATCTCTCGGTAAAGTTTCATATGTTGTTTCTTTTGATAGTGCTTTAAAAACATTATATTGTAAAAATAATTTCAACGAAAAATATATTACACAACGTGATTTAATTCATTACGTTTTTGTTCAAGTCAATTTATTCAAGTAGATTTTACCCTAAAATTAAAGGAATTTTAAGATTTGTTCCTTCAAATTACAATGTGCAGTCAGCATTTTGTTATAAAGTAAATTGT